TTGTGGGTTTAGAACGAATCATTAGCTGACGCTTTGTTAAAGGAACGGAGAAGGTATGGCCATGGAGGCTCAGTTCTTTTCGATTGACGGGGGGGGGGTGTTATCCGGGGCAATGCTTTTTTCTTTAGTATCCAATGTTTCTCAGCTAAACAGTGGACGTGTTTTTAAGCTGGTCTTTATATGCCTAAGCGCAGCAATTTACAAATTTTAGCAAAAATTAAAATATATAGAAAATATGGCCGAGTTTCCGACCAAAATTTCTGATTTTCAAAATTTTTAGATAATTTTTCACGTGAAATACAGTTAAATTTTACTAAAAACACTATTAAAATACTTTCTATAATGTTAGTAGACATTTATGGGCTTATACCAAAAAGCTCGGTGCTCCCACCTTGATGGTATCAATGTATGTGTGGACGGTAATGGCGTGGAACGTTGTCCATAGGCCACACGTGTAGCCCCTGTATCGTCCCGAGGATCCCTCACAGTGTTGCCACGATGAATTCGTGGGGAATGGTCGGGCGTACACGCGCTGGAAAACGGGTTATTAGTTTTGCAGGTGAGATTTTTTTGGTAAGACTTTGCTGCCCCCCCCACCACCGAAAGGTCTCAAAATTTTCGGTATTTTCGCTTATTTTGTCGGGATTTTTGCAACGCCATTCGATAGAGCTTCAAAAAATATTGTAAGAATTTTAATTTGAGCCTACAATAATGTAAAATAAAAGAGTTATAGCCAAAAACTTCCGGCTGGGGGGGGGTAAAGTAAAGTGTAGCCAGATTTTTGCATGAGATTTGTTTGCGCTCACCTCAATCATCTCAAACTGACGAATCCATTCGGAAGAGGGGAAATGGCCATAGCCCTTCCGTGCCTCGAGCCATTCCCTCATATGCGTGAAGACGAGGCGGGCACGCTCCGAGTTCTTCAGAATCTGCACAAAAATGGGGAATAAGATTTTGGCTGAATTTTGCATACCGTCGACGAGGTCCTCTTCTTCCTCACCGTCCGCCGCAGCTCATTCGAGAACGAGAGCACCGGGAAGTGCTAAAAATATTCGTGGTTTAGGAGCTGTACCTTCTTTTGTATAAAAAACAGCAAATTAAATTATTTTGAACTTTTCTAACAAAAAATCGACTTTTTAAAAGATTTTTAGGGTTTAGGGATATCTATTCCAAGTGATAAAAATTAAGGCGTTTTTGTAGGTTCAACTTTCGATTAAACAAATACAACAAATATCGATTGTTTTAAAGTCGAAAATGGCCGATTTTCGACCAAAACTTGATTGTTTTAAAGCTTTTTAACGAGTTTTCTAAATGATTTTCCACTCGAAAATAGCCAAAACCGTCACAGAAATGCTTTTTTTTAATCATTATAACGTGAATTATTGCCGCCAAGATCACTCACATTGGCGAGAAGATCGACAAAGTTGTAGAGATTGGTGAAGTTGTCCCCCTGCACCATGCCGCCGTGCACGTCACGCACCTAAACACCGAATTTCCAGATTTTTGGTGGCTTGTACTCACCGAGTCATACAGGGCCTGGTGCATCGATTTGAGCATGTCCGTCTCGGAGACGTAGAACATGTCGGCGCATCTGAATTCTGGGGGTTAGAATTTCCGTCAGAAAAACTAGGCGAACTCCAGATCCCCCCAGCCGGCCCCCGCCTGCCGTATCTCGACTCCCTGTTCATCTACAGGTGTGTAAAGTATACCAAAATACTCGCCAGAGCAAGGCGAACATTTTGGTGTACCTAACACACCTGTAGATGAACAGGGAGCCGAGATACAAAAGTTGGAGGTCGGCTGGGGGGGTATCTGGAGTCTTACCGAAAACTACATACCGGTCTGGGAATCTGGCGCAATCGACGACGGGTGCCAGGGTGGTGGTGATGGGGCGGAAGGTCGACGTTTGAATATTCTGCACGGGCATCACGTGGTGGCTGGCCCGGTCGGCGTTGATGGCCGCCTCGATCTCGCCGAAGGACGCGTTGTGCACGCTGGAAAATCGAATTTTGCTTCCAAAATTTGATTGGTGATCTACCGGCTCATGTAGATGGCCTGCTGGTGGTCGCGGCGGAAGAGGGCGACCGAGGGGAACTCGCGAATTCGCAGCATCTGCACCAACGGCGAGTTGGAGAGGGCGCGGCGGGTGCCGACGATCCCTCGCTTCTCCCACATGTCGAGTTGGAACTGAAAGAGTTCTTGGTGAAGTTTCAGCGCTTCACAATGGTCAAACGCGGTCAAAGTGGAGCACCAAGATTTTCCGGTAAAGGTTGCTTAACGGGGGGAGGAATAACGGGGATGGAAACGATTTTTCCCCTATAGACCCTGTCGTGCCAAGTCAGGCAAGCCATCGGATAAAGCGTCGAAAATTATACTAGGAGATTTAATTTCAGCCCGAAATACAACAATTTAAAATTATCACCTTATTAATCGAAAAAGTTTAATCAATTAAAAATCATTAAAAATGAGATTTTGTGGACTGAAATTCAATCTCCGAGTATAATTTTCGGCGCTCTATCCGACGGCATGTTCAAAATAGCACGATATTCTTTAGAACTACAAAAATTGTTTCTACCCCCGTTAGTCGGTCCCCCCCCCGTTAAGCAGTTTTTACCGATTTTCCAAACCCGAAAAGCCCCCGAATCAAGCTTCTCGATGTGGATTGCCGTTCTGGTACATACAAACCAGGGGGCAAACAGATAGACTTTTTCGAGAGTGTGTCCGACTCGAGTCGCGCGCGCAGGGGCTTTGATCCGCTCGGCGACGATCGAAGTTCTGTGCTGTTTGGCCATCTTTGATCAGATGAGAGAGACAGAGAGAGACAGAGAGAGAGAGAGAGAGAGAGAGAGAGAGTGAGAGGAATAAAAAGAGGCTTGTAAACACTACGTGATGCACCCATCGACAAATCGAACGGACCACGAGACCCCGGGCCCCAGAACACCCCTCCTTGTTTGCTAATTTGTGCTTGATGTGGGAGTTTAACGTACCTTGGACTTGAATTTTGGAAAAATTTTGAAAAGCTGTTTAAACCATACCCTTGCCCCGACACCGTCGCTGATTTCGAAGACGATGGCCATGTAGTCGGCAGATTCGGGGATGCCTTGCCAGAGTTGGCCGTATGTTGTGCGTCTGTAAAGTGCACTTATGATAGGGTTCACGTAATAGCGAGAGAAAGAGAGAGAGTAAGAGAGAGAGTGCGAGAGAGGGAGAGATGAATAGAAATGCTTGAATTACTCTATCGCGTCCCTTTAAAACTAACCCGTCAACTTGAAGCGGGGTGAACATTGGCCAATCGGGGTACCGGTTAAAGGCGTACTCGTTGGAGATGGACCTAAACCATCGAAATGAAGGTTAAGGAAATCAAGTTCCAACCTCAACAACGCGTCCCTGATGCCGTCGGCGGAATGCTGTGGGTCCATATGGACGGCATCGCTCGGTCGGCGGGCCGTTCGCGCAAAGTACTGTAAAGGAATTGTTGCAAAATCCTATTTTTTGTACCTTTAGCGTGGGGAACTCGCTGATGCCATTCGCCTTGCAGACGTCAACGTTGTAGCTGTCCGCGCAGTTCATCACCGCCACCGTAACCACCTAAAAATACGGGTTTTTGGCTCTATAAATCTTCACGCATATTCGACGATAAAATTCATATTTTCGATACCTTGTTCCATCCAAACACTTGGTTGGCGAATTCGCGGAAATAGGGGACGAAGGCTCGACAATGCCCGCACCTGGAAATAATTATTTTGATAAGAATACCGCAATTCTATATTTCTATGGCATCCACCATCTCATCGCAATTTTCTAACGTTTCTATTTTCAGCTTTTTCTAGCTACGGCCCCGTAAACAAGCCGTTTTATCTATTTGACACGCTTGGGGGGAGGTAGGGTTGTTATATGACTTGAGTCGCCACCGACTTGCGTCGGCGAAAATGCAAATGACTTGAGTCGGCACCGACTCGCATCGGAAAAATTATGAGTCGGAAGGGACGGATTGAAATGTTAACGATTCAATTCGGAAACGACGCGAGTCGCCAAACGATTTGAGTCGGAATGGAAATAAGTCGGATGGAACGACTTGAAATCGCGACGACGCAAGTCGCCGACGACTCAAGTCGTTTGCGTTTTCAAGTCGTCGGAAGTGAATTTATGCAAATATATGTTCATGGAAATAATTTTGATCGACCAACTCTATTCTTGTCTGAACAGAGAGACAACGCCGCACCACTCTTTACGCTACGATTGGACAAGAGATCAGGTCCCACCGACCCTCTTCCATAGAAAGCTGTACCAAAACTGTTTATCCGTGAACTACTGGAAAAAGGCCGCTTCGCGCTGCGATTTGATCCTCTATTTGATTTTGCAGCATAACTTTAGAAAAGCCGTAAATCGTATGAAATGTTGTAGTAACATACTCAGAATAGTATGACACTTCAAAAACGTTTTTGATGCTTTAATATACCGCCAGAAGCTCCCTGAGCACCCGGCTCCCTGGGCTCCGTCAGCTCGAGCTTAATCAATTACTTTATTTACGGCAGTTTTGGTGCAGCTTTCTATCGAAGAGGGTCGGTGGGACCTGATCCCTTGTCCTATCGTAGCGTAAAGAGTAGTCCGGCGTCGTCTCTCTGTTCAGAAAAGAATATAGTTGGTCGATCAAGATTATTTCCATGAACATATATTTGCATAAATTCACTTCCGACGACTTGAAAACGCAAACGACTTGAGTCGTCGGCGACTTGCGTCGTCGCGATTTCAAGTCGTTCCATCCGACTTATTTCCATTCCGACTCAAATCGTTTGGCGACTCGCGTCGTTTCCGAATTGAATCGCGCCGATTTTAAATCGCGAGTCACGATTGTAAGAGCATACGATTCAGTTCGTCAGTCGACTCCAGTCGTTTGCGAATTGAATCGTCAACATTTCAATCCGTCCCTTCCGATTCATAATTTTTCCGACGCAAGTCGGTGCCGACTCAAGTCATATAACAACCCTAGGGGGAGGGGTCAAACTGTCTGTTTGTCGAGTGTCGCTGTCTGCCGCCGGTGTGGGACCTGGATGGTACTGTCGCTCTCTCTCGCCGGCCATCTCTCTCTTGCTCTCTCTCTCTCTCTCTCTCTCTCTCGCTCTCTCTCTCTTTCTCTCTCTTTCTAGCGATATCCCAAAGCCGATCAGCTGTGTTTGAACCGGCTGACGATCTCTCAATCTTTTGCACACTCGATTGCTCGCCGGGATTTTTTGGCTGCTCTGGCTCGCACTCTCTCTCTCTCATGAGCCCTCTCTCTATCTCTCTCGCTCTCTCTCTCCCTCTCTCTCTCCTTCTCTCTCTTTATGTCAGTCTTTTTTCGGAAGCCTTGGGCTTGTAAAATAACAGCATTTGGATGGTGCAAATGCCATTTAGGATAGAGATCATCGTAGAATCGTAGCAGTCTATCTATCTTATTCTCGCTCTCCCTCTCTCTCTCGCTCTCTCTCTCCCTCTCTTTCTCTCTCCCTCTCTAGCCCAAGATCAGCTGTGCGTGAACCGGCCCTCATCGAGACTGAGGGATAGGTCCTCGAGAACTGATGAAGGGGGTTAAAGGGTCTTGTAAGAGTGGGCCCTTTGTCTCAACGTTTTTTTCGGGCCAAATCCCCCCGATCTACCGGTTTCTATGTACAAATGGCGATACTCTACAATTTGCTAGTGATACCAAGAGCAAACAATTTTTCTAGGCACCCGAATCCTTGCCCCGAAACCCAAAAGTTAAGTCGGGCTAGTGGGAAGGCGCTAGAAGAGTGACGAAATTTTTTAGGCATTTTGAAAAATTCTATGTGGCGTGTAAAATCGATAGTGTAACTAGGGTATAGGCAAAAGGGGAAAAACAGACCAATCAGCGTAGAACTCGACGACGAACGACTTGTCCTGGACGAAGACCGTGTCGGCGAAGGTGTTCTGTAAAGAGAAAAATGTGTACTTGCTTGGCGGCGCCTGACGGCCTTTCAAGTTCACCGAGAGCAATGGGCAAGCTAGCGGGTACCCCTTAGGATAAGCAGCTGGAATTTGCTTTACTACTGTTCCTAAACGTGAAAACTTAACAAATTTTTATCGAAAACAACAAAAATATCGGTTTTTCGTCCAAAAAGGAAAATTTTGGCGAAAATCTTCACTTTTGTTTCCATAAACAATTTTTTAAGGCTTTAGCTAGTTGTTCCATTTTAAAGATGGTTAGATAAGACTAAAAACTTATTAAAAACACTATTAAAAATTACTAGGTATTTCTAGACTCATAAAAAAAATTCCGTTGCTAAATTTGCTCTTATCTCTTCTTATCTTCCAACATACCTGATCGAGATGCATGATCGGCTCGAACCCGGGGGTATACAGGGTCGGCGAAGAGCCCTGGGGCACGTAGTTGTACGATGATTGGTATCCCTCGGCCACTGCTGCCATTAATGCCCATACTGTCGTCGTCCACACGGCCGCCCGCCGCATTCCTCTGAAAAAATTGCATAAAAGGGATAGTATCATCGAATTGATTTACATATTATAGAGGGAGGAACAGGCGAAATACGGCAAAAATCAGTACCACCTGAATTTTGGCAGGCATCCAAAAAATAGGGCTGAAAAATTGATCGAAATATATTATGCAAATTAAGCTCCTGCAGTCGCGCTGCAGTAAGGCAATTTTTTCTAAAAATTTACAAATCATAAAATTGGCAGAAATATTCAAAATATTAAGTTCGAAAAATCCATACCAAAACCTCCAAAAAAATCGCAAAAACGCCCCCGCCGTCAAATTTGGAATTCAACAGCCGCCGTTTTATTCGGACCATAAATCAAAAATGGCGGCAGCGATCGGAAATTGACGGCGATAAACCGTGGGAAAGTACCGTAAGAAAATTGGCGAAAATTTAGCATTTAAAAATGGTTTCAACTGTTAATGTGCCTGTTCTTGTCGGAAAAGCGTTAAAAATGCGTCCAGCTTTCTTTAAATAATTTAACAGCAGCCGTTGGCCAGCAGAGAAAAGTTCCGCGACAATCCGCGCGGAGGCCCCGTCCGTCCTTTTCTACCCGGGCAAGGCCACGATTGAAATGCAAATTTAGGAGAGGGGAGAAAGGGAGAAAAGTGAGGGGAAAGATGTGACGCAAGGAGGGCGCTTGATCGAGAATAGCTTGTTTGTCGATTTTCTGGTCCGGAAAATGGCAAAATGGGAATTCTGACGTCGGAGGAGGAGGTGAATCAGGGATGAGAGAGGGGAAGATGAAAACTGACAAGATTTTGATAGGATTGTCGGGCGAAAATGCAAAAATCTCGACATTGCGGGTTCTGTTAGCATCAAAATCCCCGACATTCGAAATCGCGAACGCCAGAATGTCAAGGCGAAAAATAGCATTGAAAATCATGGTCCTCCCAGTGTCGACGCCCGAAATCCCGACATGGGTAAATACAACCGGCCAAAATACCGACACCCAAAACGCCGATGGACCAAATATCGACACTGGAAAACTTAGAAAATAGAAAAGCACATTCAAAATACTGACAAGACATCGAAAGACGCAAATACCGACTGGGTCGAAATCCTTCGCGGTCCAAAATCCCGACAAGCTAAAATCCCGACAGGCCGAAACCCTGACGGACAAAATAACAGCTCGGCCCCCTCAAAACTCGCAAGTCGCTCGGAACGCGAACAGATAAATCCATTTATGAAAGCGTTCGGCTTAAAAATTGCTCAAAACGTCCACCATCGCCAACTAGGAGAAGTGGTTATACTACGCAACAATTTTCGAGCTTTCAAATAATTGTAGTTTGTAGCCTAACCCACTAAATACGCGGTGTACATAGGTGTATATTGTCCCGACAAGGCCAAAGAATACCCTCCCATCCATCCTTTGACCCGTAGAAGTGTCCGACCAAAAGCTGACCACAGAATTTCTGAGAAACCCGGCCGGGTCCCCCCCCCTCTTGGCCGGTGAGGCGTGTGGTGTGACTGGTGTGTGTGGAGGGGTTATTTGGAGGGGACAAATAGAATTCGTTAGAGAAGATGAAGAAGAAAAGGGGGGAGGGCCAGTAGAATGGCCCTCGGAAGGAGGAGGAGAAGCCCCCCCCACCACCACACCATCCATTCTGAACACATCTAGCAAACCTTCAGGTAAACAGTCTCCACCCCTTTCTCTCTCTCTCTCTCTCTCTCTCTCTCTCTCTCTCTATCTTCCAATAGATACACACACCGCCATCCCTTTACAATCTTAGCGACTCGGGTCATGGGAAAGTGGTCCCGCACGCTTGTAAATTATTGCAAATGGAGAAAAACTAAAATGGTAAAGATTGAGCGTAGCTGCGCGACCGAAGCTAAGCCTAGGCAAAGTCTAAGCCTAGCCAAAGCCTAAGCCCAAACCTAAGTCGAAGTGGAAACCGAAGCTTGGGCGAAGCTGCGATCCGAGACGAACTAGTAAGCCCAACCTAAGCTTGTGCCTAAGCCTAAGCCTAACCTAAACCTAAACCTAAGCCGAGCCCAAGCGTAAACCCAAGCCTAGCCTAAGCCATGGCCTCCGCATAAGCCTGAGCAAAGCCCACAGCTACCCTTGCTTCCACATCCCTTTAATGCCAAATTTCCGAGAATCCACCGGGCCCAAAAATTTCGAGCGCAATGACCAGGATGGCAGCCTGCACCTTCTGCTAGGTGGGCGCTCAATGTTGTCAGACATTCTTCGCAAATATTCTCGGGTTTCGACGCGACGGCCATCGGCGGGATGTCTCTGCGAACTTCCGAAATTCGACGCCGCGACCCCCGCTTTTTTGTGGGCGCCGCGCCCTACACACATACAAATTGACAGTAAAAAAGGGAGTGAGGAAGAGAGAGAGAGAGAGAGAGAGAGAGGGGAAAGAGGGCATTTGATGAATGGTTTCTCGCTTGCAAGGAAAGGTCTGTAAACTTGAGTTTAGGGGATGTAGGATGCGGAAGATCCGTCGTTTTTGGAAATTAAGGGAACTTTTGAAGGGTTCTCCTTTAAAAATATCTTTAAAAATAAAATACGCGGAAAAACATGTTATAAAAAACCTTTTTGAAGAGAGAGAGAGAGAGAGAGAGAGAGAGAGAGTGAGAGGTGAGCGAGAGAGATGCGCGAGAGAGAGAAAGCGAGAGAGACAGAGAGACAGAGAGACAGAGTGATACCCTATTTCAACCATGACGCTCACGCCAACAGCTTACAGCCTTCGATGCCGAGCTTTCGATTTTACACCCTGGGAACCAAGCTAGAATGCTGAACGAATGAATACCATAGAAAATCAAGTTATATTCTGAGCTATTAAAGAAACCATGAAGGTATAATCACGACCTTTTTAACGTTAAATTCTGAGTATACTTCTATGTCCTATAATTCGGTGGCCTAAATAAAACCCTCCTCTTTTGTCTTACTCTTAATAAAATAATAGATCAATATTCTAGGGTAATTTCGAGAAATTAGGTGACTAAGAAAGAAGAGTATTGAATAAAACACCCAATAAGCTTTAAAGCTCCTTGAATAAGGCGAAAAGTCTAGCAAAGCGCCACCTTTTCGTACTCTACCGTAACCTTCTGCGTTCTAGGGTTAAAAAAAACAACTTTCCGCCAGGTTCCAAACGACAAGCCAGGCTGCAAACGGAATTTGAATCCAAATGAGAGCCCCTCAGGGGGTCCTGGAGGGGGGAAAGCCGATGATAGCCATCAGAGAGTGAGAGGAGAAAAAGTAGGGGGCAAGACAATGGGGCGGTGGGCGGGGATCCGTGTTTCTCTCCTATCTCTCTCTCCCACTCTCTCTCAGCCGGGAAAAGCTCTGTTCGCACTGTCTGTCGGTATGTCTGTTTGTGTCAATTTGTTTGTCCATCCGTCTGTCTTGATCAGCCCGAAATTTCGCATCTTTTGGAGGGGGAGGGGATGGTCAGGAATGGGATGGCATTGTGTCGAGAATTGAGGATAGCCCATTCTCGCATCCCGAATATAGCCCAATTTCCCGCCTCAGGGCTTGGACAATAAAAACAGTGTGTTTGGAAACGGAAATGGCATTCTGTTTGTTCGGAAAAGACTTGGAATCGAGGCTGTTGATGGGATTGGCGCGGAAAGTCAAGGGCAAAAACCGGCAGATGGCAGGTACACCTGACGAATTTGGAATCGAGTATGCAGCTGGACTATCGATGGTGTCATTTATGGGGCGAGTCACTGATCAAGGTCGCCGTTTAAAGAACATACGTCTAAAGGGTATCTAAGCCAACGCCTAAGCCAAAGCTAAGCCACAGCCAAGGCTGGCCGTGAATTGTCAAGAGCCGTATGACCAAAAACAAGAAAAACCGTGTGACGGCGCGACGTGAGGAATTAGGTGTAATCCGGATTTTGGGACGGTCTGAAGGGAACGATTTCGATGATTAAATTTGCCTAGTTTTCAGGGTTCTTGAAAATTGCTTGCAAAACTGGAAGAGTACAGTAATACATTTTAGGGGCTGGAAATCTGTCAGGAAAGCGTTGTGGGACGCAAGCCGTTTTGCTAAAGTTCAGGCTTACGCTTAAGATTCAGCGACCTTGTACTTGGCCTAAGCTGAGCCGCAGGCTTAGGTTTCGGATTATTTCTTAGCCAAGCATCGAGTGGACTTTGACTTTGGCTTGGGCTTAAGTAAATTTTAATCGTAAAATTCAAAAAATTGTTTGATTCTGTTGATGTAAAACGGCTCCATAAACCTCTCGCCCAAGTGGTGTCGATGGTTGTTTGTCGGAATCATTTTTGGGGGGAGGCGACGATGGGTTAGGGGATCGTATAGGTGGGGGGATGGGCTGATATTCTCACTTCTTCTTCTTCTTCTTCTTCTCCTCCTCCCTCTTTCACCTCGTCTACAGCTGCAATGTGTGCTTCCTGATCGTGGCTGGCGCCAGATTTCGGCGCTTCGCGACGACGACGACGCGACTGGCGCCAGCCCGTGGGGGATCTCCCGGCGAGAGAGTGGGCACTGGGGAGAGGGTTAGGGATGGAGAGTAAACATTTGGGGGGTGGGCCAAGACTGGGCGAAGGAACCCACGTGAACAGCTACTGGACTGGACCCACTGAGTCGATTCTGAACGGGGTGAGTGCAGTTGTTTTCGTCGCGAAATTCTGTAAAACCGAGTGGGGGGCACGGGGGTCAGATGATGAAGCCGGGGAAAAGCATCTTTGGTCCCGGTAGTGTCCAGGGATCGTTGGGTCAATATTTTTGGTGGGTTTTAGTAGCTATTGGCTTGGCTTAGCTTTCGGCTTATTGTTGGGCTTAGGTTTAGTCTTAGACTTATGCCTAGACTTATCGACTTAGGCTAAGCTTAACATCCGCCTGGGTTGGGCTTAGGCTTGGCCCTGAGCTTATTAGAACGGACTTTTTAGTCTTAGGCGTGGGCTTCGCTAGGAGTTGAGCTCGAGCTTGAGCTTATATTGTCTCAAGTTTAGGCTTCGACCTGTGCCTAGACTAAAGCGTAGGATTCGGCTTCGGCTTAGGC